CTTCAAAAAGTTCATGGAATGATTCATGTTATCTTTTAATTCTATTTTTCCAGGAACTTTTTGAAGTACCCTAGTATATTTGTATATATTTATGCATGTAATATGCTTATATGTAGGTATGTGTATATATGTGTGTGTACACATGTATGCACGCACAGTGGGTTTTTTTTTCAATTTTATTTATATTTATGTTTGTGGGGTACAGTGGTTTGTTTCACTATATGTATACACTGCACAGTGATTCGCTAGGATAGATAGCATACTTTTGTGCCCATTAGTCACACCCTGTTTCCCCACAACAGCTCCAGGAAGTAAACTTCTTTCGCCCCTTAACTCTACCCCTCTCCACTCTATATGTATACGCCCAACCAAATTGTTCAATGTTGTTACAAGTTTTCTGAGTTCCAGATCTCTACATAAAGGTTGCCTAAGTCCCTTCGCCATTCTCTGCCTCAGCATTCTTCTGTAGAATGCACAGTTTGGCCTAACTGATTTCCACCTGCCTCCAAACCTCAAAGTCTAAGTTCTGGGATTTAAAAGTGCTTCTACTACATCAATCCTTTCCTCAGAAAGTAAGGTTATTTAAAATCATATGGTGCTGACATGATTCAAAAGAAGTGAAACACATGTATAGGTATTTAATTATTCCCAATGATAAATTCACTTAAGAAAATTTAAATCGGAATTTGAATATAACTTGATCTAAGATCCAATGCAACTTAGATATTTGCATGTACATGGACCAGCCGTGATTTACCAGGCTTGCAGAAAAGGCAGTCCAAGGCAACCGTGTGTGGACCGCATGATCTTGCCTAATGTCCCTCTTTCATAGCTCACTGGACCAGGAAAACATCTGATCCTAGGGAGGCCCATTCGTAAGATGGACCCATGTCTGTTTCAAAATGGGGAGCTGGGCCATTAGATGATCTTGGCATTCTGAACTTAGAAATACTAAGACAGAGAGGGAGTTAACAGCAGGTACAGAACCTGAGAGAATGTACCAAGAGACACCATGAAGAGTCCAGGCTGTAGTCATGGGGGTGGGCAGAAGCCAGAGGGAAGCAGTGGGGCCCCCACAGGGAGGAGGGAGGCTCAATGAATGGCCCATAGAGGCAAGGAGTGGCCTTAGGTCCCCAGAACTTTCTGGGTTCAAAGCCTAAGTTATAGAAATCTTTATGATAAATCTTTTTGTACTTGAGCAAGCTTTAGTAAGTCTCTGTTCCTCACTATTAAAACTACCATGCTAAGTTGATGAGTGCACAGAAATCCTCCGAAGGATCATTATTAGCTCCATGAGGATGGAGACCACATCTAAGTTATTCATCACTCTGTCCCCAACACCTCACAAAGTGACAGGCATGGACTAGATTAGAAAATGTTTGTTGAATTAATAAATGCAGTGTCTGATCAATCAATTAATAATTTGAATAATTTTTTAATTTTACTTTTATCTTTTAGTGTAAATATATCTAAAAATACATTCTGTGTGACTAAGAGAAGACTATTGTTAAAAATTGTGAAATAATTCACAATGTTAATAAAATTAACTGTTTTTATAAGCTGGCTTTTAACTTTAGACTAGTGTTATCTATATGAAAATATGTCAAAATGGGACTTTAATGAAATATGGATTTTCTAAAAATAGGCACCATATATCATACCTAGTGCCAATTTGTAGGTTGGAGGAATCTGTTTCCTAGTTACATTATTGTATATTTATTATATGAAGGTGGACAAACCCCTGACCCTTGTATATACAGATGGCGGTATTGGTTGTGCCATCTGAGTTATTCTAGTGATAGATTTGTGCTGACCATCCACAATGTTTCTTTCTTGGTCTCATAAATGTTTCTGGAAGAGAGATAAATAGGGTTACGACATGCTGTCTGTGGCCAAGGAAACAAGCAAGGCAAAGCTTGTTCCTCAGTTCCACAGCCACAGACAATGGAGTTGATCCTGGAGAATTCAGCTCATGACCACATAGGTCATGACCTATCAAAGGTTATTCGTGTGACTTGGAGTACACATAGTTACAAGGGAAGCCATAAAACATCAAGGTCAACTTTGTCTCTAACTTCCTTTATGGAAAATGATTGATATTATTTGAGATGATCTATAGAAGACAGAAAAAGTTAGGTAACATATCTGCCTAAAAGCAAAAATAAAATATAGCTGAAACAACTGTATTTTCAAATATATTTATAATGTTTAAGATTTCACTGTCATTGTACAGGAAAAAGGTTTAAAATCAAATGGATGTGAGCAAAATAGATACAAAGCACACAAAGATGACCACAGTTTGAGTTTTGAGGGTTCTTGAACTACACAGGCAGTTATTTTCATGTAATATGCAAGCATATTCAGTTAAAACGCGATACGATCTATAATTATTGTGTTCCTGTTATGTACCAGTTGTTTTGCATGCACTATCACTACTCCTTACAGGGAACTTGGTACTTACTCTCTATAACTTCTAATGTTATATTCTTCATTTTGCATCCAAGTAACTTAATGATGGTCACGCAGCCAACACGGAAACCTGTCACAATTAGAATGTAGACATTGGTGGCTCTCATTATTGTACTCTTCTCACTCAGTTATACTGTCTTTCATAATAATTGGGGCAAAGAAAATAAAAAGGCAATTGGTTGTGGGCTCTTTTTTCCTCTTGTGAGACTAAACTAAATGTGATCTAGAGAGAAAAACCACTTCAGGATCAGTAACTGAATATGTTTTAAGCAAAAAGCAAAATATTAACCTTAAGTTAAGTCACAGATGCCTGCAGAGAAGGCTTTTGAGAGTGTTAATAGCATAATTATGAAATAATAGGAGTGAACATCTCCACTACTCTCAGATCTGTGGTTACCTTTGGTGATTCCAACTTAGAATCATCCTTTGTTGAAAATCAAGAAATTAAATCCATCAGGAATATCAATAAATATGAATCAGCACTAAGGTAATTATTGAGGTTCACATTGATTGACAGATATAAATAGCTACCGTTTGATCAAGGCCTGTAAAATTCATGCTTACAAGATGACGTCTTAGATTGAAAGGGTAGTCATCAATTGAATCAGTCTTCTAAATGCACAAATATAAAAATGGCAAATCAAAACCTGAATGGAAAATAGCCATCACTCTTTTGTTTGATAAAAATAAAAATATGTAGAAAGAGTGAGTGAGAAATGGTTGAAGGAAAGGGGCGGGCATGGTCTGCCTGGAGGAGAACTGACTGCAGTTACAAAGGAAAGACAGGTGTGGTATGGTAACAGGGTTAAATATATAAAAAGGGTTTGCACTCACCCCGTGGGACTCCAGAAGTTGAAGTAGGACCGGTGAGTGCAATCTACAAAGATGCCAGTTTGTGGTAAAGATGAAATGGGCTGCTTTGGGAGATAACTATAGGGTCTCAGGACATTTGAAGACCCACATAGAGGCTAAATAACCACCATTCAGAAGTTCTGTGTTGCAACACAGGCATTGGGTGGCAGACAGCACCAGACTCCCCAGACCTCTCAACTAAAATATTAATTCATACGTCCTGATTCTCACAGACCGTTAAGTCCTTTACTATTCTTGCTGTATTTTGAATCTGAACAATTAGTATGATTTATGTGATTCTCCCCCCTAAAAAATTATTTTCTTTTAAATTGTTTTGGCTGTGTGTGTGTGTGTGTGTGTGTGTGTGTATAAAATAGAGAAAGATGACGCTTAATATTTGGCTGCCTTTAAATCACAGGTGCTTCAGTCCTGTGAATTTCATTGTTGTTGATCAGATTCTTGTTGCATTCTTTGGAAATACTCATTTAAAACATTTTGGTAGCAAAAGTGAACATTCTGCTTTATGGTTTTATATTTTTGGATTGGAAAAATTAAACTTTGGTTTATGGCAGTTTAAATTCACGGATAAATATTTTTTGGTCTTAGGCCCCCTGTTCTGCATAAACACTCACTTAACAATAGGCTAAGAAGATAACTACTTAGAAATACAAAGGAAAATGTGAGCTACTCATGTTCCTCTTGGCTTACAAATACTTACTGGTGTATGCTTTAAAGTCAGCAATTGCCACAAGTTCAAGTTCTCTGGACCCCAGAGCAAGTAGCAGTAGTAGTTAATAAAAAGCTCAGCAGTATATTTTTTCCAATCAAGTAACCATGCTGTACTCTATAATTTTATTCTTGGAAGCATAAAGAGTGTTTACAATATGGTATCTTTCTAGGAGCAGAATAGTTGGGGGGGGGGCGGGTGTAGAGTGGAAAAGTGTCCAAACATCCTTGCATGGCAATGATGGCATTACTGGTGTGTTTAATAAAACCTTTATTGGTACATTTTCCGGTGTGGTGGCATTGGCAGAAACGGTCCCCCTTTGGATTTGGAACTCAGCAGCCGATGAAATACAGTAAACATTAATTTGGAATGGGCTGCCAGTTTTGGAAAGCCAGGTGACATTTTATTATATTTGTACCAAGCAGGGGCTATGTCCCATACTGCTGTAGCTTCCGCTGTCAGAGGCTTAGCTGGCATTACGGGGGAAAAAAATGGCAGGCCTGAGAATCTTATCCCCTGAAATGAAAGTCGAATGCCAAATTGAAATTCCTGTAGGATTTCCGATAGCAATGGGGGAATTGAGAAGCCCACAATTAAGCATATGGGCATTAAGATAATTGTCAGATCTGTTGGCGGACATGATAGAAGACAGATGGGTACGAATCAGTGCGCTCCGCTGCAGCACCCTGGGAGACAATTTGACGTTTTACCTGCCTGAGCTCCTCTGCCATATTTGTCACTGAATGTACAGCTCGGCATCTTACTGAGTGTTAAGTGTTTTTGCAGGGAGCTATAGGTGCATGTGCAGTCCTTCAGCGCCCTCTAGTGAAATGCGTTTGGGAGTATTGTTTTTCAAAGGCCAGTCTTCCTTTATCAGGTTCTTGCTGCCCCTGGAAATAATTGTTACACCTCTGGTTCCTGCTAAACTCTATGGTTGCTCTCACCCTTTCAGGTTGGGGCCCATCGTGAAGATGGTGTGGCCCTGAGAGGCAGCCATTCTCTTCTGCCAAACCAGGTTCCGGTTCCACAGCTTCCTGTCCAGTCTGCAACTTCCCCTGACTTGAACCCACCCCAGGACCCCTACAGAGGTAGGTCTGCCTCAGGAGGGCACTTGCAACCTCACTTAAACAACAGAGTAGACCCAGTGCTGATCCCAGGCTTACTTGGCATCATCCCTCAGGAAACACTGGCAGAAAACCAAGAACCAAATTTGGTACAAAGATGGTAAATAAATGGGAAAGTATTTGGAACTTAGCCTGCTAATTGTGTTCTTCAGTAACTGTTTTCCTCAGACATCTTCCAAAATCCTGGTCCTATTTCAGCAGGGAATGAGACAGCAGGCTGATGAGAGGACATTTTATTTAGCTATTTCCACATTTTGCTCGTTCAGGTCCCCTAATGTGCTTAGTTGTGGCCTGAAAATGATATTTCCAAATGCATAGGAAGGAAGGAAATTGTTTTTGTTGTTTAAGATGGAAGGAAATGTAGGTACATTTTAAAAATGGAACTCAGTGGGATGATTTTTGCTCTTGAGTCATCTAGCCCCTAATGACTGCCTCATACCACTGACAACGAGTGGCTTTGCTGACCCCAGGAAGTTGGTGACTCAGGAGTGAGACCTGGGTCCCAGGGTCCCTATGCTACTTGCCAGGCAGCTGACTGTAGTCATTTAAGTGGCATCTTCTCATTCCCTCCACATTCAAAATAAAAATGATAACACACCACAGGAATACATATAAGCATTTTTCCAACTGTTAGTCACTATACAAATCCAAGTGTTAATTATATGCAAGGGTATTTCCACCCATTTTTATCTGAATAGTAATAATTTGATGGACCTCTCTTTTAAAGAGCCTTTGATTTTGCTTTCTGTGTCCTAGATCTGTGCTTTTCTAACTGGAATGTGCATAAGCCTGACCTGAGGATCCTGTTAAAATGTAGATTCTGATTCAGTAGGTCTGGGATTCTGCATTTCTAATGGGCTCCCAGGTGATAAGAATGCTCCTGGCCCATGGACCAAATTTTGAGTGACAAGGGTCTACAATATACAGATTAGAAATAGAGAGAAATTACGAAATCGACATGCTTCTACCTTAGAAATAAATAATTATGTAAGGTAATGTTTTAAAATGTAAAATCTTGGAAAGTTGAGCAATGACATAGCTAGAAATTTCTTCAGTGAGCAGCGAACTGACTTCCATATGTAAAATTTTTAAATGCTGATTACTCCTTGAGGATAAGAGAAGCCTAATTTCAGAATATCATTAGGGTATCTATTGAAGTCTTGACTGCATGTATTTAGCGTACTCCCTGGGAATTATATTTTAAGGACATTTTTCTATTAAATCATTGCATATGGAAGAAACTCAATATAATAGCTGATATTTACTTGGGTTCTTAATCAGAACATTGAGGTGTGTGATTTTCATGATTATGATTTTCATTGCAATTAAGTTGATGTTTTGTAGACAGTGAAATTACCATCTACTCCAAAAGATTGCAAAATAGGATTTAACCTCAGAGCCAATGCCGGGAAAACTTGTTTCCGCAGGTGCATTTTTGAAACTTCACCAGAGAGCAGGAAAAACAGCACCAGAAGGATCACAGTTCGGCAGTATGAATTGTCTAGCCGGCAGCCTTGCAATCTGGGGTGTGCGTGTTTGTGCATCAAGGTTTTAGTTTATGTGTCACCTGGTCTCTTTTCCTCTGTAGGCATGCCACCAGGACTACAGGGGCAGAGTGTCTCCTCCGGCAGCTCTGAGATCAAGTCTGACGATGAGGGCGATGAGAACCTGCAAGACACGAAATCTTCCGAGGACAAGAAATTAGATGACGACAAGAAGGATATCAAATCAATTACTAGGTCAAGATCTAGGTAACAGTATATAATACTGTCGCTTCATTTAATTCCTTTATTGGACTTTGATGAAGTGAACAGAACAGGAAGAAACTATTCAGTTTTTTCCTGGCAGGTAAATCTACAGCTGAAAAGAAAATTAAAGGCCTACTCTAGAAGTACCAGAAGTATCATTTAAGATACCTGTACTCTAGTGAAGCCTAAAATGTCTTTGCATTTATGAATTTGGACCCAATGCTAATTACACATGGTAAAAACAATTTGTAACCAATTCAAGTGCAAATGGTTTACTTTTAAAACTATACTTACTCTACAAATTTGGTCAGAAATATTTTTTCTAAAATATTTCTAAAGAGATCTTAGCCATGTTAAAAACTCAATTGACGTGGATGCAGCTGTAACTTTTCTTCTAAACTGAGAAAATATGAATTTCCCAGTTTTATTGTAAATAATGATGTATATAAGAGTAATACCTAACTTTCTAAAATATTTCTAAAGCGATCTTAGCCATGTTAAAAACTCAATTGATGTGGATGCAGCTGTAACTTTTCTTCTAAAGTGAGAAAATATGAATTTCCCAGTTTTATTGTAAATAATGATGTATATAAGAGTAATACCTAAATTGCTAGTTTTTTTCATCCTGGATACTCCTTTTTATGGAAAACACAAATGCAAGAAAGTAGTTTCTGGTTGGTTTTCTTAAATATTCAGTATCTTTAAATTAGAGTCTGTCTCCTGGAACTTTAACTCTAATCGGTAATCAGATGGTTTTTGAATACCATGTACTTTGCATCAGTTCTCTTGGGTTGTTTTTATTTGCAAATTAAACCAATTGTACTAAAACTACAGCTTTTCTTTTAAAGGCTGTGGTTCTCAAGGTTACATCTATTGGCCTTTATGAATTAAGAACATTCTGCCTTTTCATGTTGCCTTTATAATTATTGAGATAAATTACATTCCATATCCTTCCACGAGTTCCAAAAATACTAAACAATACTAGCTTACCCTTTTCTACCATCCTTACAGAGTTTCCTGATTTTTGGGCCACAGTGGCAAGAAATCCCAAAGAGGGAATTTCATGTCCTTAACAACGTCACCATTAGTCTCAGTTCTTGTTAATTTAATTAGTGGCTATAACTTATGCATATTAATGGATTCTTTGAAGTTTCAGAACATTTTAATTTGCTGTTGAAAACTTTCTTATTTTAAAAGGTCACTCTTGAGACATTTACTTATATATGCCTCTAAAACTGTGTTACAAGGCAGTGCTTTTCAAATCTAGGCAGTTTATTGGCATAACCAATTTACTTACAAGCGAATAACCAATTCTAGTTAGTTATTAGCCTGCAAACCTTTGGAAGACAAGTTCCCATTTTCAAGTCCCCTTTGTGTACAGTATGGCACATGTGTGATGTCAGGACAGGCCCAGCAGAGATTCCACTCTGTTTCCTTTCACTTATTACAGCCTATTTGCCTAGTGGAATGTAGGAGTGAATTAATAACCTTGATCTCCTTGGCACTAGCAGAGGTCAAAGGTAGGAAGGGAGAAGGAATTGGCAGAGAACTGAGAAGAGTGAGAAGGCAGAGAAAGTGGCCCTTTACTGACCCTTTACTAATTGGTTCCGTTGTGTGTTCACCAGCGCACATCTATAGCAGATAGTGCTATCTGGAAAGGACTTTAACCTGTGGGAAGAGGAACCTAGACCTACAATATGTTTCTTCCTCCCCACCCCACCCTCCCACCCCTGAGCATTCATGGCTTACTTCTTACATCATCTTTATGTGCAACATGTACTTGCGACCCAAAGAATACCACTCCCATTTTTGATTGATTAGAGTTTCTCAAGTGTAATTGATCCTTATTGCAATTTGGAGGTTACCCAGAGATTCTTTGAGATGGAAGATTGGAGCCATACATTTTATGCCACCATTCATTAAGTATATATTGAGTTGACTAAACTTCCCACGTGTCTTGCAGCTCTAAAATGTGATTAATCATCTTTAGCCTGTGAACATTTCAGATGTGTGCAATTTTAAAGTAGAGGTTAAACCTTCATGGTCCTGTAGATCAATGCTTGAGTCTGTAGGCTAACGTTATTACAGATGGTCACCTCCATAATGTAAGGGAGAGCTATTACTTTTCAGTGATGTTTACTTCATTTTTGATGTTTCTCATATCCAAAAGTTTCTTGTTCGTGTCAATTCATAGTAGTTATTCAGACTTCTTTATTATATTCTGCCTTCTTGAGACAACACGTCTCCCACGCCTCTCTTTTATATGATAGTCCTTGAAATACTTGAAACCCTCCTGCCACGAAACCTTCCTCATAGGGTATGTTTTCTAGATGGCTCATCGTTCTATTTGTCTTCCATTAAAGAGTTTCTAATTTGTCACTATGACACCCAGAAATAGACAAAACTGATCTTATCTTTCCAGACTATACCAGATCCAACCATGCCTTTCTTATGACTCATAGACTATTTTGATTCTCACAGAGATTAACCTTTGGCTTCATTTTTGACTCACACTGAGATCATGGCCATTTACAAGCAGAAGGTGTTTGGTTTTTGTATTGTTTTGCATAGCTGATAACAATTCAGGTTTCCCCAGCTTGTTTTGAGAATCATAAACATCCATAACATGTTGAAGGCCATGGAAATCATGTTTTTCTAACCTTTTATTTAATACATGGAGAAAATAAGATTCAGATAGGGTAAGTGGATTGACCAGGCCTTCAAAGCTTGGTAATGGTGACACCTGGACAATAGCCCCACTGTCTTCCCTCCCATTGCTCTGGTACCTTAGATGCAGGACTTGTTTTTATTCTTGTTAAGCTGCCTTGTGTTTATTGTGACCTATCAAAAATCTTTTTTTCAATCACTTGTTTTCCCTAAGTTTCAGATGTCACCATATGAAAGTTGTTAAAAAAAAGAAAGATTAAGTATAGACAGTCTTTCTGAAGTGTTGTCATGTGGTATAGACCAAGCATAAATTGCTGGTAGCCTGCTGTGCAGAGTGTAGCATTATCGATAAAAGCTGTGTTTCGCCTTTTTGCCCCCTATATTAGTATGGGTACATTCTGGGCCCCAACATTAACCTGGATTATCCTCTTCTATTTGGTTTGGGTTTAATGTCTGGGAGAAGCCAGATGTCTTGTTTATGGACTGTCAGATCCATCTAAACCAATTCCAAGGTCAAATGTATGTAAAATTCTGCCAAGGACGTGGCTTGAGATGGAAAAGTTCCCTGAAAGCTCTGAAAGAAAGCAAAGTAATTGAGTTGCCTCCTTTTCCCCACACCATTAGAAAATGCCGCATCCCTTTTGTCCCGCAGCAATAATGATGATGAGGACCTGACACCCGAGCAGAAGGCAGAGCGTGAGAAGGAGCGGAGGATGGCCAACAACGCCCGTGAACGCCTGCGGGTCCGCGACATCAATGAGGCTTTCAAAGAGCTCGGCCGCATGGTGCAGCTCCACCTCAAGAGTGACAAGCCCCAGACCAAGCTCCTGATCCTCCACCAGGCAGTGGCTGTCATCCTCAGCCTGGAGCAGCAAGTCCGAGGTCAGTGCAGGCTGGTGGCCTTGCAGAGCTCGTGGGTAGCTTGCATCACAAGAACCGAGACAGACAGGCCAGCCTTGATGGTAGCAGAGAGTGGACTGTTAAGCATCACTCAGAATCATTGTGTCAATTGCAGACCTTGTCTAAATCCATAAGTAGCATCCCTTTCTCCTGTAGTTAAGTTATAGGATTCTCTTACAACTAAGACTACAAATTCACTACGCAGTCCAACTTTTACTAGCTTGTGACCAATTGAATCATCACAGAGCACATTTACTAATTGTTCCTTTCATTCGGTAATGTAAAAACTGAAAAAAAGGGTCAAACACACACAGAAGAGTGTGTTTCTGCCCTCAACCGGAAGCCTTGGTATTAACTAAATGGCCTGTGCTTTCATCCTCCATAGAAAGGAATCTGAACCCAAAAGCTGCGTGTCTGAAGAGAAGGGAGGAAGAGAAGGTCTCCTCGGAGCCTCCCCCGCTCTCCTTGGCCGGCCCACACCCTGGGATGGGAGATGCATCGAATCACATGGGACAGATGTAAAAGGGCAAGTTTGTTTTTGACCATTTCTGAAATCATTCATTCCTACCGCTCACCAGCACATCAACCATAAAAGTCAAATTTTATCCAAATTAACAGATTTTTTTTTCTTGGAAAAAGAATTTTAAAAAAAAAAAAAAACAAAGCATTTCTTCTCTTATAAATGTATTAATTGATTTTTTTTCTCTTTTTCCTTTCTCAGGTCCAAGTTGCCACATTGCTTCATTAAAACAAGAGACCACTTCTTTAACAGCTCTGTTATCTTAAACCCACATAAACACTTCTCCTTAACCCCTTTTTTTGTAATATAAGACAAGTCTGAGTAGTTATGAATCACAGACGCAAGAGGTTTCAGCATTCCCAATTATCAAAAAACAGAAAACAAACAAAAAAAAAAAAAAAAAAGAAAGAAAGAAAAAAGTGCAACTTGAGGGACGACTTTCTTTAACATATCATTCAGAATGTGCAAAGCGGTATGTACAGGCTGAGACGCAGCCCAGAGACTGAATGGCAATCTTTCCACACTGTGGAACAATGCATTTGTGCCTAAACTTCTTTTGGAAAAAAAAAATATAATTAATTTGTAAGTCTGAAAAAAATATTTAATTTAAAAAAAATTGTAAACTTGCAATAATGAAAAAGTGTACTTCTGAAGAAAACTACATGAACGTTTTTGTTGGTATTTCAAGTCAGCTAGTGTTTATAATTACTGGATATTGAATAGGGAAGCTTGGCTACCCTAGTAACAAAACCAGCAAACGTCCTGATGACAACAAAGTGATGACATTAGCCATTCCTTAGGGTAGGAGGAACAGATGGATCTTATAGACCTATGACAAATATATATATAAATATATATATAAATATATATTAAAAATTTAGTGACTATGGTAAGCTTTTGTTCATTTGTTTCAGACTTTTTTCTCCTGTAAAAAAATAGTACTGATTAACTTTTTTAAAAGAAAGATTTTACTGTAAATATGAATTTTTTTTTTTTTTTTTTTTTTTGGTTTTTTTTCTGTCCCTGCTCCCGGTTTGTTATTGTAACCTGTAGTGCCAACTCTGCTTCCGGAGGGGTAGTGCAGGATGAAATGCTGACCCTGATGTTGCTTCTCATTCATAAATAAGTAGAAAGTTGTTTCTCCAGTCTTTTGGGAACACAGGACTTAAAAGTCACATCATGTGTAGATATTACAAGCAGCATTACTAAGACATGGCAAAAAAAGAGTTTGTCTGAATTGTAATGTTGCGTTTGGGACCCTATTCTGGGATTTTCAGAGGTACAAGGTTAGAATGCTACAATGTTACCACTGTGCCTTCCAATGTTTATATCATCGGAAACATAACATAATCAAAGTGGCTGTGATTTAACAAAACGATTAAAGTGTTACCTACCTGTGTAGCCGAAGTAGTGTGCAGTGAGGCGTTTCTGAATACATGGTCAGATTTTTGGAAAAAAACAAAAACAAAAACAAAAAAAAAACAAGTAAAGTTCAAAAACCATCAAATGAGAAAATTGCAAGTAGTGTGACAGAGCTGATTGATTTTGTTGCTTTCTTGACTTTTTTTTTTTCAAAATGGGTTTACTAAAATGTAGATGACTTAACTGCCTCCTCCTTCATCTGAAAAAAATGCCAATATTCAATCATCATACAGCATTATAACAAGCCTTATAAGTCCTAAAGCATTAAGTTGCACTTTTTTGAGGAGGGTTAGTGCAGTATTTCTCTGGCCAGTATGAATGAAGTTTGTACTTAACATATTTGATAGAAACATAGATCAAGCTATGGCACAGCAACTCATCAGATAGCTAGCTTTGACGTCTGGGCACAATTGAACCAACTTCCATCGTGAATCTTTATAATGATTGACTTTGGTGTATAGTGCAGTAAACAAATAGTGCTCCTAGTTAAGTATTTGTCAGCATCCTTTTGTCTCTAACTCGTTTCTATTTTTACAGCCACACAATCTTGGCATGTATTAAGAAAAAAAAAATCCCTGTTCAAGTAGTTTTTCCACCTATCAGCACTGAGTAAATGCCATAAATACATCAAAATGGTCTAAATGTTCCATCTGTTCTCCTGTTTTGCCAGTTCTAGAGTAATGAAATACATTTGTAAATTTTATGCAACAAATGGCAAACGTATCATTATTTTGAAATTGTGTATGTAAAAGTTATATTTTTACATGTAGACTCTTGTTATTATGTGTTTTAATACATTGTATCAGTTTTTGGGTTTTTTTTAAACTGTGGTTTTTAAAAAGTCTCATTTAAATGAAATAGTGAGCTACAGGAATCTGAATTTTATGTTCATTTCTGAAAATGTAAGAACAAATAAGATAGTTACCACGTGGTCATCTTTTACAAACCCATAAACATTTTGATTAGCTGTGTATGTGTTGAAAACTGTAAATATGTTCAGTAGGGATAAAACTAAAATACTTTGATTTGTTGATAAGTTCCTAAAATGTGGAGGTGGATTAAAACCTTAGGAGAATAGCAGATATCAAACTGGATGAAAAGTCATTTGGGGGCTTGCCTGTGAAATGTACGAACAGAGGGACTCAATGAAGGGCGTGGAAGATAATAATGTGTACTCTCCCCTCCTCCCTGCATAATGGAAACCATGTGTACTTGTTCCCCCAGTATGTTAAAGATTTCCTTTTAGTGGTACATTCTGCACTCACTTTGTATAGTCTACCAAGGCGGGTATCCCTAGGAACAATATTATATAGGAAGCAGGTATACTCTGATGACATTCAGGATAAGTGTACAGACGAAAATACAGTGTTTACTCTTTAGGGAACTGGAAACACTCCCTGCATTGATGTACATTTTAAGAATGGCACTTTTGATACATGTTATCATAAAGGTGCTTAATAGAGCTGAATTAAAGTTTTTCAAATCTATAAACAAAGCAAAAAATTAAATTTGTAGTCATTTGGTTATTTTTTAAATTGGTGCTTTATATTTTATTCTCACTCAAACAGAGTAAAAGCTGCAATTTATTGCTCACCAGCTTGGATGTGTGCATTACCCAGTAATGTAGTACCTCTACTGTTGAATTCCCTTTTGGAAATAAGCGAAAAACTTTCCAGGCCACCAATGGCTGCTCGCTACTTTTTGCCTGGTGGAGAAACTTGATCTGCACCTATCCGTATTAATTGGGTTGTATCCCCATTAAAGAAGAAAAAAGGGAATGTGGCCTTTTTGGTGTGTTTTTTTCTTGTCATTTTGTGATGATCAAACCCAGGTAAGATATTGGTATCCTGCACTGGATTTTCAACTGAAATTTAGCAGAAGACAGGATTAAAGTACTATACAAATATTTCATAAGGGTCCATGTTACACTATATATATATAGGTAGGTAGATGATGATACTTGCAGGCTGGGGATCTCTTTAAGAATCTTGGACTTGAAAAGCGACTTGGAACAGTTGATCCACCTCCACATTCAAATAATTTATGAATATGCAGAATAGGGATCTGTTCATCTAGAAATTTTTACCATTTGTCTTCTGTGTAGCTGCAAGGAACACTAATGTTTATACAACTGTCAGTCCACCCAGTGGTGCAACTGGTTCTGATTCAGTCTTCCAATTTCCTTTTGTGTTTTGCTTTTTCCTATTTCTTGACTTTTTTTTTTTTTTTTTTTTCTTTTTTTTGTTTTTTTTTTTTTTTTTTTTGGTGTGTGTGTGTGTGTGTGTGTGTGTGTGATCTTTATTTTGATGAGGGATTGGGGAGTGGGGTGGGAGTCGAACCAAGACTTGGGGTTAAGAGGATTTTCGTCTTTGCATCCAACAGACAGAATATATGATCTGTGTCCAAAAGTGAACTTGAGTCAGGAATGAAACAATTTCAGCATAAACAAGCACAAAAATTTAGTCTGCTGGCTGACTGGAAGCAAAAAAAATCAAGATGGAATATGATGAATTCCAACACAATGGGGCACCAAGGCCTTCAGGCCTCTCTTTTTATTTTGCTTTGGTTTTGTTTTTCTTTAGAGACATGCTCTTTCTCATGGGACTTGAAGTGGACTCATCTTTGTGCAGTGCTGGTTTTGCCATATTCATTTCAAGTATTATAGACATATGTAATGGTGAAAATATATGAACTGTGGCCTTTTTCATTCTTGTTACTTGTGATGCAATTAAGTGAAGATAAGAAAAAAAAAAAGCAGAGATTTACCATGTATCAGTGCCTGGCTTTTTGTTATAAAGCTTTGTTTGTCTAGTGCTCTTTTTGCTATAAAATAGACTGTAGTACACCCTAGTAGGAAAAAAAACCCCTAAATTTAAAAATAAAAAATATATTTGGCTTATTTTTCGCAGGAGCAATCCTTTTATACCATGAATATTACAAAAAAAAAAAGTTGTCAGATTCTGAATATTTCTTCTTTGTAGATTTTTGGAATCATTATGAGTAAAAGTTTGTTACTTTATTTTACTATTTAAAAGATGTTATTTTACCATGTGTTACCAAGATGAAACTGTATGGTAGCTTTTTTTTTGTTTTTTGTTTCTTGTTTCTGTTTTTGTTTTTTAGTTGTAGGTCGCAGCGGGGAAATTTTTTGCGACTGTACACATAGCTGCAGCATTAAAAACTAAAAAAAAAAATTGTTAAAAAAAGAAAAAAGGAAAACATTAAAAAAAAAAAAAGATAAACAGTTACACCTTGTTTTCAATGTGTGGCTGAGTGCCTCGATTTTTTCATGTTTTTGGTGTATTTCTGATTTGTAGACGTGTCCAAACAGGTTGTGTGCTGGAGTTCCTTCAAGATAAAAACAAACCCAGCTTGGTCTAGGCCATTACCTGTTTCCCATCTGTAGTTATTCGATGAAGTCATGTACATGACCGTTCTGTAGCAATAAATGTGCCATTTTTATAAACTGTTTCTGATACTTGTTTCATTTCATTTTGCTTTGTTCATGTAGTTATAATTCTCTTCTGTAAGTAAGACTGCATCTATATTTCATTTTCCAAGTGTTGGAGGTATTGACAGCTTAACAAAACATACAAAAAAGAAATAAAAATAAATTGAAAAGCAAAGCACATGGTTGATCAAGGAAGAGATGCCCTTAATGAAAATGGAACGGGATGCATGCAAAACAAAAAGAAAACTGTCTAGAGGATTAACTAATTGAAGGAATATAATTAATGTGTGTGTAACACTGAAGCTATGCATTCGAAGAGCTCTGAACTGCGCCAATGTTTTCGGTTGTGCTGCAGGTTGCTAAGTCAAGTCAGCCTTAAACTTTTGGATCAGTTGGTCGGCTGTTTGGCAGAACATCCTCAGCTAGATCTTTTCAGTCAAAAATCTTAAGATGATTTATTTTGTATCACTTTGTTAAAGGCTGAATATTGTTAACCACAATTAATATTACACTGTATTTATACTTTCTCAAACTATACCCACCTCACCAGTCTGGTTGGCTCTATTGACTGTTCATCCAGATGTAAACAACCAGATGGGTTTTTTCCCCTGACTTGTACAGACTAACGCGTGTCACCTATGATGGGAGGGAAAATATGTACAGATT